GCTTTCCCAAATTCATGTCTTAACGTTCTGTCATCCATTTAAATTTAACCAGCTCCATCTTTATGACTGTAACTATGGACTGGAGCCTGCTGGGGTCATCAGCGGGTGTGAAGTCAATGAGTCCCCTCTCCCCAAGTCCATCATTTCTATTATTGCTGTAAATAAATTGCTACAAGCAGCATAAACATGTTATTTTACATGCATTCAGTTAGAAGTCTGACGTACAGTTGTGAAGAGTAGAAATGTGTTCTTCTGGCATTGGTTCTACAGAGTCTGCTTCCTTTTCCAGCTCTAGAAACTGGTTGCATTCTTTGACGGATTGCCCCATGTTGCTCTGACTCTGTGTGTTCATATCCTCTTTTACTCGCTCTTCTTGCCTTCCTCTTTGTTCTACAAGGGCTTTTGTGATTACATTGTACCTATTCCAGTAATCTGGGACAATCACCCTTCCACCAAACTTTTCCTTTACTCATACTAAAAAATGCACTTCGGGACTGGAGAGACGGCTCAGCGGTTAAGAACACTGTTCTTGCAGAAGACCTGGGTTTGAATCCCAGCACCCACATGGCAGGTAACAACTGTCCATAACTCCAGTCCCAGGGGGTCCAACAGCCTCTTCTGTCCTCCATGGGCATTGCACGACACGGGTGCACTTACCTACATGCAGAAAATACACACATACACATAAAATAAAAATAATAAATAACATATTCTTTTAAAATGCACTTCTGTGTATGCGTTTCAGAGTTTCTGTTAGAACGTGAGCATCTTTTCGGTGATTGTGGTGGTAGGCATTGTTCTGCACAACACAATGGTTTTCTTTGCATTTAGTCTATTTTGTTTCATTGATCGTCTTGAACCCGAAAGTTGATTTTTCTTTCCAACGAATCTAAGACATGTTATCCTTATATCTCTTATTTGCTGTCACTCTCCGTTCCTTCTGTATTAAGGTACGTAGTTTGCTAATTATTGGCTTCATAGACTGTGGAATAACAAAAAACATGACTCTGTTGTTAAGATCGGTAATTTCTATTGATCTGTTTCCATCTTCTGTGAACCATTTTTCTGCAGTATGCAATTTGCTCTTAAGCTTCCCCTTAGATAATTTCATTTTTTCCCTTCTTCGTGGATCACATTTTCTTCTTTGTGTGTCAGTCCCATTGATTTTATACTGAGGGGATGATTCATTGAAGGTAATCTAAATTACATTTTATTGTTAGCCGGGGCATATTGTTTTAACTTTACATTTTATTAAATTCTCCACTTCTTTATAGGATACAAGATTATGTTTACTATAACGGACAAATGCTAACAATCGAGTGTTAAAAATATCTGTGGGATGTGTTTCCAGAGTTAAACAAATCTATATTATCCCATCACTGTGGAACATATTGTTAGTTCTGTTCCTATTTTAATTTCCTGGATATTATAGACTTTGGAGTAATGGTTGTTTCTTTAAGTAGCTTTAAAGTATAGAGGTTATTTCCCTCTAAATTGTGCCGTGGAATCTCAGGCTAATGGCTTTCTAATAGCTGAGAAATTGATTTTCTTCCTTTTCTTTTGTCCTGTCACAACCTTGGTTGGTGCTGGTTAGAATCTACTTCCATTGAACAAAGATGAAAAAGGCATATGCATACATGTAATCTCCATGCAGAAGTGTACTTAGGTCTCTCTAAGTCTTCATCTTGTCATAAAAGTATTTCTAAAAAAGTGTACATAAAATTTTTTATCAATATTGGCAGGCATGGTGGGGCACGCCTTTAATCCCAGCGCCCAGGAAGCAGAGGCAGGCAGATCTCTGTGAGTTTGAGGCCAGCCTGATCTACATAGTGACTTCCAGGCCAGCTGGGGCTACAGAGAGACCCTGTTTCAAAAAAAAAAAAACCATAAAAAATTAATTACGAATGTTAGATCTCTTATAAAGATCTGAAGGAGATTTATTTTTTAATATTTTGTTTATTGTTTTTGTTTTATATATACATGAGTGTATTGCCTGAATGTATGGAAGTGCACCCATGTCATGCAATGCCAGAGGAGGTCAGAAGAGGGCTTTGGATTCCCTGGAACTGAAGTTACAGACAGTTGTTAGCCACCATGTGGGTGCTGGCAATTGAACCTAGGTTCTCTGAAAGGGCAGACAGTGCTCTTAACTGATGAGCCATCTCTCCAGCCCCCTGAAGGAGATTTTTTAAAAATAAACACCCCTCCACTTTATTTCGGGCAATGGATAGGTGTTAATACCATGGCAGATACAGTAAAGGAAAGAAAGATGATTCTAGATGGAATGAGGCTGTATTTGAAAACATGAAATTACTGAATTATAGGTAGAGTCTAGAATCAAAAATTTGAGTGCTAAAAGAGAGCATGGCAGCAAACCAAAATCACTTCACCATGGAGGAGACTGAATTTGTGGGATTAATTTTTTCTATATGTATTTGATTAGTTGGACAATAATTGAGTAAACACTATTACTGCTGATACTGTTTAGATTTCCCACAGCCTCTATTGTGTTAGATCTTTCTACCATACCAATATTCAGAGCTTAATTCCTGAAGAAATGGAAAAAGGCAGTACAGCTTAGTGGTGTAGCTCCACGACAACAAAATAGATTACAAAAGCCTGTGTAAGAAAGGATGATCTAACTGGCAATGGTGCTACTAACTACGTATATAGAATTTGTCACTTGGTGGCTGGCATGTTGCTGCAGAGAAGGAAGAACTCTTGAGCTAGTTTCATTGCAGTAACAGTACAGGAGGTTACTTATGGGATGTTAGAAGAACTGAAAATGAGAGCCTTTAGATTAGCAGCTCATAAAATCATCAGCTGTAGAAAGTTTCTGTCACTTCTAATGAGATAAAAAGAATAGGATAAGATGGAATTATTAGTCCTCAGCAGCCCAGGGTCAAAGGCAGAGGTAGTACTTCACATATGTGGCAATTTGGGAAGCCTTTGCTATGAGCTAGTCCTCTGGCGAAGAGAGTTACTCCATGCGAAGTGGACCTATGGGTGTGCTGTTTGTGTGAGATGGAGTCAGAGAGAGAGATGGTGTAGGAATGAAAGTGTGGAGGGGAATTAGCCTCTGCTTGAGAAAAGAGGGTACTGGCATAATAGCATAATGCATAGGATAATTATAAGGGAAGGTCTATCTTGGCTCTTTCAGACCACAGTCACTTGGGCTGTTATATTTGGGCCTGTGACAAGGCAGTACAAGGTGGTAGGAGCACATCACAAGAAACCCTCATCTCATAGCAAAGAAGTGGAATAACTAAGGAGCACTAGGGATCTGATATCTCCTTCAAAGGTATCTCCCAATCACTTCCTCCCACAAGGCTCTGCCTTTTAAAGGCTCTGCCACGTCCTCATAGTGCCATGAGTCGGAAACCAAATTTCTAACACATGTACTTTCGGAGGACATTTGGTATCCAAAGTGTGGCACCAAGTATGGTGGTGCATGACTTGTCGTCTCAGTACTACGGAGGTGGGATCAGGATTCGGGGTTCAGGGTCGGGATTGATTACACAGCAGCATCTTGTTTTGCAAAAATTAAGCTACAGCAAAGCGCCAAACTACAGAATGTCGGAGAAATGTTTATTCTCTGTTTCAACATGGAAATTTTTGTATTTCTTTTTTCATTTCTTTATTGTGTATAATGCAGAGTAAGATATTGATGATATTTTTCATTATATAAATAAATAGTCCCAATTCCCCTGGCTAAATGTCCATCATTATTCAATTATTTATAATGTCACATCGATAAGGTCATGAACACACAAACATGAGGGTATTTTTCTCTGTATGAACTTACACTGACCTTCTCTGTTTGTATACAAACACAGCTAACTTTAATTACTATTTTTTTTATTTTATTTTTTTGAAACAGGTAGCCCCAGCTGGCCTGGAACTTGCTATTTAGACCAGGCTGGCCTCAATCTCAGAGATCTACCTGCCTCTGCCCCTGGAGTGCTGGGATTAAAGGCATACACCACCATGCCCGATCATAATTACTGTATTTTTAAGAATATTGTAAGCCTCAGTGTCTAATAAAGACAGTAAACTAACCATTGTTCTTTTTCTTGTTTCACAGTATTCTCAGTTATTTGTGGACCTTTATTCAAATTTAGTTACAGAGTCTATTTCACAAGTGTAAAAGTAGGCTTAGATTTTAGATTTTCAAGTTTCTAAAATGTTTTAAATTGGGTAACTGACCTTTGTCTTTGTATTTCATTTACTGAAACAGGTAAGAAATAGTTTGAAGAGGTTGTAGTTAAAAAGAACAATCTTACCTAAATGTGAAAATTAGCTAAAGATGGCCTGCACACTTAAGAATTAGATAAATATAGTTTGGAAATTGGCAATATCTGATTGCCACTCTCTCCCTCTCTCCTCTCTCTCCCTTGCCTCTCCCTCTCCCTCTCCCTCTCCCTCCCCCTCTCCGTCTCCCTCTCTCCTTCTCCCTCTCCCTCTCCCTCCCTCTCCCTCCCTCCCTCTCTCCCTCCCTTTCCATCAGTTACTTAATGGGCATAGTTAACATAAAGGAAAACATTTTTATTAAGCTTGGTGAGGCCCTGCAAGATGGCTCAGCAGGTAAAGGCATCTCCTTCTAAGCCTAACAACCTGAATTTGACTCCTACAACCCCACATGCTGCAAGAAGAAAACTGACTCCTACAAGTTGTCCTCTGACTGCTGGATGGACCCCATGGTGTGCACCCCTAATACACAAGATAAATACAAATGTAATAGAAATTTTAAACAGGCACAATTATATTTAAATTTATATTAATAAAATGAAATCTGTGGGAATTTGTGGTAAGATGCTTCAGAAGCTTTGAATATTTGATTTATTTGTAGCCATGGTTTCTCTAGGTTTCTTAGTATACAAATGGTTGGTGAATTTTACTATTGTTATCAAAGAACTTTTGGTTATCTACAATGGATTTGAACGTAAATTTCTCACGTTTCAGTCACTAACTCTTGGTTCCTCTTTACCTTGTTTGGACAGGCTGCCCTGCAAGTCGGGGGCCACGGAGAAAGGTTACACCAGTGTCGGGAAGTGATGCTTCTGACTTACAAGTCCATCCCCATGCAAGTGGATGGGGAGCCCTGTAGGTTGGCGCCGGCTATGATCCGGATCTCCTTGAGGAATCAGGCCAACATGGTCCAGAAGAGCAAGAGGAGAACCTCCATGCCACTGCTCAATGAGTGAGTCTGTGCCTGGCCATCCTGGGTGACGTGGAGACACGGGACAGCAGATGGCAGAGCATGTGCATGGTCTGGGGAACTCACTGTGTGGGAAAGGGAGAAAAGTCTAGAAAGCTCCACAGACCCTTCCCTCTTAGGGAAAGACATGCAATTCGACTTTAGGTTTATTTTACAGTCATTTGTCCCTTGTTTTAGTAATTTTTGCTGTATGCATGATACATGATTCTTCTTTGCTGACCACTCAGCGATATATTGTGTTTGGATAAACTGTTTTTACGTTTTGGTTTGGTTGATGCAGGCCTGCGGCTAGCCTCTAGTCACATTGTATTTCTTTCTGCCTGTCAGTGAGGGGGTCTCTTTCCCTGTACTCCCATTTTGGGGTCCAGTGTACTCTGGTGCTTCAACTCAGGTTTGCCTTCCTGGGCAGTATCTATTGTTCATACTTAATCTGACCCACTGTTTCTGCTTCTAAACACCCAGTATACATCCCACAATCTTTCCTTTTTTAAAGGTATTTTGATAAACTGATTCAAGGAAATAAATAATAAGCAACACAGATTGCATACTCATTTCCTAGTGTGCCTCACTCCAATTAGTGACTTAATTGCTTGGGATTGGAGAAGTGGCTGGAGAAAGAAGAGGATTCGGGTCATCTTTTTTTTCAGTATATTCTAGACATCATGTGAATATACCTAAGGCCATCACAGGGCTTAGCCTTGGGTCATTCTCTGTCACAGTGAGGGACCTCAAAGGTGCCCCTCCTGTTTGTGCCCCATGTTGCATGGTTGCCTATTGTACTGATGCCTGGCTTCCTTGCAGTGCCTGCAAAGCTGGGGCATGCTTTGCCGTATGTTCACGGAGTCAAGGTGAGAATCCGCAGAAGCTCCTAGAATAACTGATGACGCTGGTGCCATAGTTCCTGTCACCTCTCTGTGGCAGCATGTGCTAACGAACAGCACCAGACCGTACTCTCTGAGCAATTTGGCTTTTGGCGTCTGCTTCTATGTCTGAGGCTGACAGGAGAGGCCCTCTTCTCCTCTCTTGGAGTCTGGACTTGCTGGAGACTTGCCCTGGTTGTTTCCAGAGCTGCCATTTATTTGGAATTCTTGCTTTATTTACACTTTGCACCTAGTGAAACTCTTAGCTCATTGCCAATGCTTCCCGTCCTTGCTGCCTTCCTCCTAGACTGAGTATACAGTCGTTCGGTTTCTATGTTAAAACAGCAAGATGTCAGTTAAAACATGAACTACTGCTTTGACAGAAACCTGTCAACTAATAAGTGAAAAGCCACCTCTGAAGATGTACAGTGGCCTAAACATCTGGCTCATTTGCAGATCGTCTGTTAAAAAGAAAAAAACCTTAAAGAGTTTGCTGTCAATAAGCAAAGAGCTCAGTCTCATGACCTTCTTAGACATACAACTGTTTCCAAGCGTTTAGGTGTCAAACAACTCTTACCCTTGTGTTAAGACAGCATTTGTCTTTTCTAAGTAACCCTGTTGTTTAGGATTCACTGGGGCCTTGTTTTCATGCAAAAATAAATACGTTTTTGGTTTCGCTCTCCTGGCACGTGACATGTCCTGGCATTTCTTGAACTTAGCCATGCAGGTGTTCAAGAGCAGTCTAACTCAAAACTGCCATCAGTTCCTAGCAGGGGCCAGGGTGTTCCGTGGAAGCACTCCCACACCACCCAGAGACGTGTGTGTGATGGGAGTTAGAGCATACTTATCATTTTGCAAATAATAATTAAAATTTTAATCACTACATATAAAATTATATTCAACATGGTGTTTGAAAAAAATCAGCACAGAGAGCGCATTTTCAAAAGATTGATAAAACCTAGCTACCATGTAACACTTGTTCACTAAACCTGGCTTTCTCAGTCCTTGATCTTATTCACCCTTCATGGTCAGATTGTTTCTGTTTCACTAGAAATCATTTCTTAAATCTATTTTTTTTTCTGTATTACCAAGTAGAATTTCAAGCTTAAAGTTATCCTTGCCTTGCTTTTAAGACTTTTTCTTGAACCTTCTGGTCCTCTGAACTTTTTTCTGCCTTGATCATCATTATGTGATAAAAGAAAGGTATTTGAAAGATGTTTATTCCTTGATTCATTCCTTTCTTTCCTTCTTTCTTTCTTTCTTTCTTTCTTTCTTTCTTTCTTTCTTTTCTCTCTCTTTCTTTGCCTACCTTGTTTTTATTTCCTCTTTCTTTTTTCTCATATTTTTATAAACTAAAACAGTTTCTTGTGCTTCATTCCCTATATCCTTTGTTACTAATTTAGGAAAAATTCAACTGGTTTAAAATGTCTTCAGAATTTTATCTCAAAGACCTGTGTGTGTGTGTGTGTGTGTGTGTGTGTGTGTGTGTATACCTGCATTTATGTGTGTATAAGCACGTGTGTATTGCATTCCTGTGTATGTGTGGGCATATGTATGTATGTATGTATGTATGTGTATATGCATGTACATATGTCTTTGTGTATGTGTGTCCCCAATGAAGGGAAGATGGCTTTTCAGTTCATCCTAAGGAATTATGCTCCTGTCATTCATGCTCCCTGGGAAGATCTGATATGTCCTGGTGTACCTGAACAACTGCTCCTTCCTTAAACACTGTTGTTCCTCACGGATCTGTCCTTTCATTGGGAGGCTGAATCTCTGGTCTGTGACTTCAGCTTGCCTCCCGCCCAGTCCCACTCCCCCAGCTGAAGCTATTCTTCAAGCATTATAGTTGACAGTTTTCCTTAATGAGGCTTTGTGGTAACCTTAAATTATATACTATAAACTGGACCCCTTTACTCTATTGCCTCCGTTTTCTTCCTCTTCCTCCACACGAGTCTGTTCCTCACATACATGTGAGTAGAACTACTGTCTGCCCTTTATCATGGCCCTGGTGCTTGGAGTCAGCTCACTCACACCACCTTTATACACCCAGCATTCTAACTAGCTTCGTCTTTACTATCCACTGCAGTTCTTTTTTCAAATCGCTAGTTCACATCATCTCTTCTTTTACTAGGAAAACTGCCATATGAGTTACCATTTTATCAATACTGTAAGTATTTTCATAGTTCACTTCCCAGTTCACCCTTCTCCTCTTCTTTCACACGCAGTCTTTTCCACTGCATCAATTAGGATGGTCTTCCTAAAAATGGAAAGTCTACATGCCTTATCTTTGCAGATATCTTTGGTGTTTGCCATCTTCATCCTCAAGTTTCCTTTAGCTCCAGGGAGCTCAAGCCTCTCCTCTTCATCACTGTAGTTTTGTTCCTGGTTGAGCCTCTTGCAGTGACCTACCTTCCTCCATTTCATCTGCCAGTCCTCCTCACTGTATGAGACCCCACTGAAATAACACTTCACCAAGTTTCTTCTGCTTAGCTCTACCTGTTAATTTTATCTCTTGGTGCTCCCAAAGCACTCTTGGTTGTTTCTGACACATCATTTGTCAACACAGTGCCATCTTTGATTTGTTTTCTCTCTGTGATGATCTGTGAGAAAGCGCTAAATGTTTCTTTAGAGTCCCAATGACTGTCATGGTCTCCGAGACACAATTACATGTTGAATCAATTATTCAGAAATAGTTCACACCGTATTTATATTTCTGCTATGTTTATCAGAAACTATTACCAAATAACAAGTATCTAAAGTCTCATGAGTCTAAAGGCAATATAGAATATGGTTTGTTAATGTTTTTTTATAATAGAAGGCACATACTGAAGAATTTCAAATATGAATTGCACGGATAGTCGGAAGGAGACTCTAGGAAAAATAACTGTATAGTGGGTCTTCATGATTTCATGATGCTACTTTACCTTCATCCATAAAGAAAAGCATTTTATCAAACATACTCCTTGGCTTAGAATCCAAATTTTATTAGCATATACAAAAGTTCACACTTCCCCAATGTGTTCCTGAGCCCCCAAATTGGCACGGGTTTGTATTTTATTATGACCCATCAATCTGCACAGTTTGAACTCCAGTAAATATCTTAATAGAGGAGATTTTGTCTAGGTTTCTATTTCTATCCTAGCAACATGATAGTCAAATACATTATGTTCTGCATTGCAAAGCACCACTAAAGGAGATCAGAAGTTAAAATGACTGGTATGTAAGGGAGATCTTTAGCTGTTACCCTTAACCTAGCTGACAAGTAAGGGTACATGTGAAAGATGGTCATTTTATACAAAGGCAAGATTTCTAGAGAGCTAACTTTGAATTAGGCAACTGGATTCCATCATCCTAGGCAACTGAGAAGTATTACTAGTTTGTTACAGAGTCCTTTGATGATAACATGGGCAGAGTACTGTGTGTGAGAATTCATGTACCTAGTAGATACATTTTAAGAGCTCAGCCTCTGCAGTTAGAGCAGTTTAGATGACAGAGATCAAGAGGATGGTTATATAGAAGTGACAGGACATTTGGGGGTTTAGCTTGTTCAATTTTACATTGTGTGTTTCCTAAAAGCACTGTAGACTCTGCCCATTCCAAGCGAATAGAGAGAAAGAAGTCTGAGGTTCCACCTTTGTACTCAGAGTATGGGTGAGATTATGGCCCCTTAGGGATGAAATTGAGAGTTTTTGGAAACCACCTCTGGAGGTCTCAAGAAGCCTTTGCTGTTCAGCTGAAGGAAGTTCAAGGTTTTGTTGAGTCCCTCTCTCAAGAAGGCTGTCTCTGATGGGATCTCAAAGGTGAGGTGGAAAGACTGAACTGGTTCACCTCCTCACAGGAGAGTCTCCTGTCCGGGTTTGTTACTCTGATGTGGAAACCTGTGTTTCCTCTCTTGAGGTGTCCTGACTGTCCTGGAGCAAGGGTACCACCACCACCCCTCCTGTGCCCGCAGCCCGCCCTCCTGCCTTGGCCCCGTGCTCCAGTCTGTGGCTTGCCTGGAACCAGCCCCTTCCATGCGTCCTGTTGGCTTCTCTGCTGTCACCGGCTTTTCTGGATTATTTCCGTGGCTGGCTTGATTTCCCTTTTTCTTTCATTCACTGTTGGTGATGCGCTCATTTA